AAGGAATCATCCTCAGAAGATTACCCAACAAGTATCTGCGCTACATCAGAAAAGCGTCGGAACGATGACGGACAAATCTGGAAAAACAGCTTCAGAAGAGTTGACGCAACATCCTCAAACAACACAAAGCTTCAACTTCGTGACCAATCAAAACGAGCATTCGGAAAGCACAAGGGCCCTTATCATTATTCGTCAAAATATGTTAAATCCTTCCTCCAATATGGTGTCAAAAGACCAAATCTTAAACAGCACGCACCCACAAATCGATGCCTCAGCTGTTGTCCAAGAGACGATATGAAACATAAATAGTCATGCAAACAGCCCCCCCTGCTGCAACATCTCCCGAAACATGCAAATCCTGTGCCACCCTTCTCTCACTATTATAGTTTTGGCACAAGACGACAATATCAATACCAATATCAATAAGAAACAGCCCCCCAGCTGGAACATTTCCCCGAAACATACATAAAGATTTGCCTGCGCTTTCTTCCTCTCCATTTCAGTCAACACGAGGTCTCAAATAATCGAAGTGTTCGAAACAGCCCCCCGGCTGAAACATGCCCTTCAATCAACAGAAGATCTCAAAGCATCAAAGTGTACGAAACCGTCCCCCAGCTGACTCATGCCCTGCATATACAAGAAGATATATACATTCGCTGGTGTTGCATCTGGAATCATGACAACACATTTCCTCCCCCTGACTCTTGACGCAAAACACAGCAGAACGAAGAAAACGCGTTGAACATCGTAATAACGAAACAAATCCAACTTGAACAGAAGTCCACGAAAGTACTCTGCTCTGCTGGTACACAAATCCCCCCCCCATGGTTCTTGATAGCGAAACAAAGAGCAGAGTTTGGGTGAAGCATGTTCTGTGGGTGTAGTATCTCGTGTCACGTACGGTAGCCGGTTGGATTTCGATCAACTCTTAGTCGAAAACAAAATCACATTTGTGGTGAGTCACAAATACTCCGGTAGGAGGGTACATAAAAATTAGTAACCTGTTGAGGCCTTGTAAGCCCAAACATCCTGCGATTTCCTCGACATCGAACAAGGCATCCGCACCGAGCGAATGTGCCCTTCAAGATAAAGTTCGTCGTCCTTTTGGCCTGTCGCATGGAGAGATCGAACATGCCTGTTAGCGCAACTCTGCGTTTCCGGCAAGTGGGGTAGAAATGGGACCTAAATTAACCCAGGAGCCGATGGGTGGATGACCCTCTCTTGGCAACCATGGACCACCGTAGTTCCTTCCAGCACAGAAACGCAGACATTCAGATCTTACACACCGTAGATACATGCGCGTGCTTCTCTCTCGCGGCCGCACGTGGATCCCCATCTGCATACATACCCCCCCAGACGTATAATGACCAGATCGGATATCGCACCCAAATTGCGACAGACCATCGATCTCCTTTTTTTTCCACTTGGACTTGGATGATGGCGGCAGCATCATTCGTGCTGTCCACGACGAAGAGGCTTTCGCTCTGCGTTAGGCGCACGTCCAACAAAGGACCAACGACGCGGTAGTTTAGCTCCCGGCTTGCCGCTTCTTCTAGGGGCGCAAGGCCAACGGGGAACACGAAGAGCGAGACTCGACTTCATGCCGTAAATCCAAATTCGAAGATAGTAGGTGGTGGTTGACCAAAGTTACCTTTCGTTCCCATGATCCGAACCCCAGCAAGGCGAGATCAGGCGCTGCCTTGATCGAAGTCGCACAACAAGTAGCCATCAAAGAGTCGTGAGTGCCCCTCGAGTCGTAGCGGACTCGTACGGCTTGGCCTGTGTGGCAGGCACCTTTCACGCCCTCCCCGACAACCGACATCACACTACCATTGGATGGTTTCGTAAACATCCTTGCATCGGTCGCTGCCGTGCTATTGTCTAGTCTAACCATTATAGACACGCATGTTGTATTTTGTGATCGTGACGATGACCAATCTTTCTGTCGAAGGGACTTTCAGGAAGCCCACGATGTGCACACGCGAGCTAGATGGGACCTTAGCTGAATTTGCGTGGATGTTCTGCCTTCCAACTCGAAACGTTGGCGACCTCAAAGAAGAGGCAGGCAACCACGCGGGTATTGGCGTATCGGGATCCCTTGACAACCACGCCGAACCCTCTGGAGCCTTCGCCGATACGTTGTAGGAACACGATGTACTACACAACATCGTATGTGACCCTTGCCAGAGTAATAATTGCGTCACCGTCGCTGTAGAGTCAGGACGACCACATCCGCCGCGCCAGAGGACCGTTTTTCGCGGATCACCCGAGTGACGATACTCCCGAGACCCTTACCCCGTCCAAGGTAAGTGCTTTCGATGGACTCCCTCGCATGGGCGAATCCGTGCCACCTTGCCCAATATGCGTCGCGCACGAAGGCCCTTGGGTGGACTCTGCGACGGAGAGGCATCTGCCGCGCTTCGTGCTGTCGGCGACTATCTTATGGTGAGCACTCGTCATCACACCTACCTCACAGGCCCCGCGTCAAAGGTCGTAAATGTGCCGGTTTGATGTGGCCCTGGTGTTTTGTACCTCTAACGGGCCGTCGTACCTGCCGTTGAGGAGATCGCTCCGAGTGGGTACTGTACACGTGACTTCTTCAATATAGACGGTGTACGATGTGGAAACGAGTCTCTTTCTCGGTGTTTCCTCCTCGGTATCCATCCATGCATCCATGCCGTACGGCGGTTCGACTACTTCGTCGATGTCTATCTCGTACGGGCATCCCCTGAGAGTTCGCGTCCATGTTGTCTGATATGGTGGAAGTATTGCTCATCTTCCCTCGTCACCATATGTAACAAGAATGTATTGCTTTTCATAGCAAGGTGCGAACCTGCCCAATCTCCAACGCATCCCCGTCGCCCCGCTTCCGGGTATGCTTCTTGTGTTGTAGACCCAAGAGCGGATATCGCCAATGCTGGAGCATGGATTCGGAAAGAGAGCCACCGAACACAGCTCCAGGTGTTTCGGTTGGACAACATCCTCCCGAAGCCCAATAAAAGGAAGTCTCCAACGCTGTCGAACGGCTGGATGTGTGAAGACTGCGATGGGTTCAGACAGGCTCCGCGGAGACGGGTTGGAAGCGGCCCGTCTGAAGGAATACGCGGGCCCATGGACGGCGCAAGGCTGCGTGCTTGCGTAGGTGTTTCTGTTCGACGGTTCATTGACGTCGCCCTCCTGTATGCTGCTGCAGGCCGCGTCTCCAGAAGTGGGCGACGCTGGTGGGTTCGGGCCCGTAAAAGACAGCGTCGGTGATAGACATCGAGCCCGAGAAATCCATAAGCACGAGATCTACGTACACTCTGGACGTAAATCTGGAAAACATTTTTTCCCAAGAGCTCGTGTTGGGTCGCTCTAGCCCGCGGTATCTTGCCTATGGACTGGCGGGGTGTCACCGCCAGCCTTGCTAGGAGCTCGGAGATAGCGATGGGCACACCTCGCCCAGAACATGAAAAATGAGCTTGCACGCCCACCAGGTGTAATGGGCCTCCGTTGTCTGCACACGACAGGAACTGCTACACACCAGCAAGGGAAGATGTCGCTGTGATCTTGCTTGGTCTTGCTTTGTCGTGGCAACATCGGAATATTGGAATACTGTGTCGGAAAATGATGATGTACAACAGGCCGTCGCAGTGATAAGACGGGAAACGGTTTCCTTCCTCTCGCCATTGCCAGTAAGGTTAGAGAGTTGGCGCACTCTCGCACGCGCTCGAAGGCCCTCCACTCTTGTTCGTTCCTTTTGGCCTCCGATAGAATCGATAGGAAGCGCGTTGCGCTCTTGGCATTGTAGCCCAATCACGCTGCATCGACTGTATGAGGCTATTAGCGCGCGTATGTCGTTTCGTGCTGTCGTACACTCAATAAGAAAATAAGAATGTCCACAACACACCAGAAATACTTGATTGCGCATCTCATTCATTCACGCACACAAGAAAAAACCCGATTTCGGCTTTGACCACCCCATCACTAACCCGATCAGATCAACCAGCCTTCATGTAACCATTAAACCCACCCCATCAGCAGCCAGTTGTATTCCACCATACACGGCTTGCATAGAACCAAAAACTGACCCATTTGACTCAAGACATCAACGCAAAAGGTTCCAAAATACTGAGCAAACAGTAAGTTCAACCGCGACTAGAACGGCAGTGAGTGCGGAAGGTCGCCGTTCGACACATCATCGAACTTTTTTGTTTTTTCTGTATTTATTGCAGAAAAGATGACACCCGACCTCCGTGGTACCGCTTCAATCCAGTACACCACCAGCCGTTTCCCAACTAAATATGGTACATATCCGCTCATCAAACGCAGCATTCAGCGGACCAAGCTAGCTCGACCACACCCTCTAGCGACACCAAGCAGGCGTTGGCACCCCCTTCAACGACCTAGCGTTTTCGACCCAAACAGCTCGAAGCGAACGCAACGTAAACCAGCATCAACTGTGCTAAACTTTCATTACTGCTGTGTCAAATGCACTTGTTTTTAGAGGGCCCTCTTGCCCGTGATGTCCGCATTAAATGTCAGTTGCACGTATTATAGTACATTACTATATGTTTTGATTGGACATTCCAAACAACCAACAACTTCTTTCACGAAACGCGCCAATCTCTTTGTAACATCGAGATTGCAAGGAACTACAACTACTCAGAGATCCCAACGCCAACCATTATACTTCTCGCCAAAGCCACCTCTTGCTGGCACGGACGAAGGTGTGTGCCTTGAGCCCCATCTCCGGTGGGCAGTGCCTTGAGCCCCATCTCTGGTGGGCAAGTCGTCTTGGATGTCGACGTTGACTCTAAAAAACGGGAAAATTCAACACGTTAGCTTCACCCGCCACGCGAAGCCTGTCTTCCTCCCGTATCCCGTCCCTTGTAGATCTCAGAAAACACACCACATTTCTCAAAGTCTCAAAATGAGCACTGTCACTCCAACCATCTATAATTGTGGGGGCGTGGCGCGAAGAGCTCTCTGGGAGTGATAGCAGACACAAAAAATACCATCTCAGCCTGATCTAATAAAACGTCAAAGAGACATGTGATGAGCACCACAGCCGCTACCACAACCACTACTGCATTCCATCACAACCACAGGGATTTTTTTCCTTGTACAGGTCGCCGACATAAATCCAGAAGGAAAGTATTGTCCATCGAAAACACCACCGCTGTTACTGGCGCAGCCGCCTTTGTTTGTGCTTGCGGTTGAAGAAAAGAAAGGCGTGCCTGGTGCGTGCACGCGTGGGCATACAGGAGAATGGACGGCATCGTACATACAGACGTACATACAGGAAACAGAAGCTTAAATGCAGCAACAAACCGAAACGAAGACGTCTACAGACTGCCCGACATGAACAAGATAACCGGCAACGTCCTTCACGGCAACAAGCTTTTACCTTCCTTCACCCGCCAAGTTCGGGGAAGTGACCTGCTTGAAACGTGCTGGCAAATCTGGTGACAGTCCGTCACAGGTGCGTGTATTGGGTTCGCGTTGGAGCTGGGGCTGCACCCTCGCGATGACAAGCCTCTAGCATTAGCGCCTCCTGGTTGCTGCTGCTGCTGCTGCTGCTGCTGCTTCCGTTGAACAGAGGTGTTGATGCGGTTGCCACCACCAATCAAGGCGGATATCGCGAACGGCCGAGGTATCCTACGGACCGATCTTCGAGGGCCTGCGGACAGGAAACACCATGGTACACAGGGCAGGCGGGAGGGGTGGGGTGAGTGAAAGACCCTGGTATCCTTGCGGAAGTCGGGATGGATCACGTCTGGAGAATGTCAAGGAGGAGCCATGTTGGGGGGGAGCACGGGACGGGGAAATCACGATCTTAACGGTGTTCGACGGCGTAGCTAGCTTCGGTGGTTCGAAGAGTGGAGGTAACTGGTACTACGCTTGATCTGGATTTGGAGGCACTAGTACATACGAAAAGAAGGGAGGGAGGATACCCGTACGCATGCATGCGTACGCCCGCGCCCACGGCGGTGGCTCATCGGCGAGGCAGAAAACTCTTCCTTACCAGCTTTCCAGAAGAAAGCCACCCCCGCCGGCGTCTCCGACGCCAGCATCGGCCCACAGCGGCGGCAGAGCCGATGCCCCCCCCCCACCGCCGCTGGGCAGGAACATGCCTTCGTCCAAGTCGTGGCCGAGTGCAGCCGCCCCTGCCGCCGTTTCCGCCGCCGCTGCCGCCGCTACGTGCGGGTCCAGACAAGAGTCTTGCCCGCCCTCTCCGGGGGCGAAGCTGGAAGCGATCCCGTCGGGAAAACACAGCGGCGGCAGAGCGGGAGCACCGATGGCGTGGGGGAAACTACCCCCCGTAGAGGCCCTGCCGCCGTCTTCGTAGCCGTGGCTGGGCACGATACGACCCGGGCCTAGAGAATCCATGGCTGGTGCCCCTGCCAACCTCATCTGCCCGCCAAAGCGAGCGGTAGGTGGGAGAGGGTACCTTCCAGCACCGTCGGGAGTTGTTGCCATGGCCATTGGGGGTCGTGACAGTGATGCCCCCCCCCCAGCAGCAAACCAGGTGTTTTCTTTTTGTTCTTCTTGTTCTTCGTGTTGCTCTTCTTCTTGTTCCTCCTCTATCTCTTGTTCCACTCCTTCACCACTCTCGCCGTCGTTAGCGCGATCGTTGGTGTACGGCTTAGTGGTGACGCACGGGGTGGGGGTGGGTGGAGGGGCGGCGGATACTCATGTTTTGCATCCTTGACGGTTATAGACCGTTGACCACGTGTCCTCGAGAGGACGGAGCATTGCTCGTACGGGACAGATCACTAGTTGCCAATCGCTTCTTACGTTGCCAAAGGTGTTTCAAAAACATTTTCCCTACCCTATTCATCCGGTCGATATAACTTCTCGCCTTTCAGCCCACTTCCTATGCCCCAGTATAGCTACCTGTTAAGGAGTGTTGCTGTAGGGCTTAGATAGGGTACATCTTGGTCTAGAATAGGATGTGGTTGTCCGGGAGGTATACCTCTGAGGGACCATACCACATCAGGACTCAGCTATCTGCGTGCCCCGTGGTTGACAGGAGGATCCCCTCCTCAACCAGACCTTCCTCGCTCTCAATTCAAGCAACATCTCATTTCTACACAATAGTGGCGACAAGGCATCAAGCGACCGTAGCTCTTTCCTTACCTACGGACCCAGCTGCTTCCAACAGCTGGAGCTCCTTTATATCTGGCATCGTCTGGCAAGTCCACGGGTAAGCTAGCGTTGGACGCGACGCTGTGCTCCCGTTGTTGCTTGGTGTTTTCTCTTTTTCTGATTGTTTATTTCTTGCAATTTTAGGTCTCACCAACTACGAGAGCTTGTTTTGAGTGCCCCGGGCACTCAGGGATCGGATGCCTGCCTACGATGCGTTCGCCGCGAGCGCACGTGAATGGGATTTAGCGACGGATTTTCGCATCGGAGATGTTTCAGGCGTAGCAGGAGACTTCTCGTATGTTCGTCAGCCTCCTCGCGCTCTTCTCTCTGTGACTTCGTTGCACCAGGTCATTTCAGTAGCAGACCAAACTTGTTCACGGCAGCCACAGGTACTCGCTTTGTGCGGTCGTGCGGGAGATGACAGCATGCTCTCTCATCCACTGCCAAGACCGCTTTTGTGCCCGCATATCGCCCGGCATCTGCTGATTATCCGGTGGTGCTGTCGGATTTGACTCCGCACACCGCAAGTTGGCGAGCTCTTGCTGTGCACCATTTGGGTGTGCGACACCTCTTTCGCTTCCCGTCTGTTTTTCGTGACAATGTGACTGTATTTTTTGGGACAATTATATCTTTGGAAGCTGTCGAGCCGGAGCACCACCTCCCTCTAACACCGATGGGCGTGACCAAATGCACACCCTCTCGCCTCGTACCTGAGCGGTTGGCCGCTTCGCGCACTTTTTGGTCGGAGGCTTTAGTGTCTCCGTCCGATACGGGTTCTTTTGTGCTGGCGTCCACGTCCGTATGGTTATGGAGCAAGGACATTTTGAATGCTTTTTCTACTTGGTTGGCTCCGCTCAAATTGCCGGCTCATCAAGCGCTTATCGCTGGCCGCATGTTGTCATGTGGGTATCTCCGTGTTGCTTTTGCGCCGCTGCCCTCTTCTGCGATGGTGGGTACTTCTGCTGTTCCTACCGCCGGCTATGATAGTTCTCCTAGTGACTCTGTTGGTATGGAGTGTGAGAATCCGATGCAAGCTGAAGCACAGCAAGAATCACTCGTTTATTTTGGGCACCTCTGGTGGAACAAGAAGACGCAGAACGGGCCGAACGCGATCGGATGTCTGCTGTTATCCCTCGGACTGCTGTTGCTGCCGCTGACGATTTGTTNTCTTCCGCGTTTACTTCTTTGTTCGTATTTTGTCGTCGTAAGTGTTTGTCGTACGTATAGCGGTAGCATCGTTTCATATGATTAATTGCGGCCTTCCTTGTCGCCTTGGGTTTCCTGCGTCTCGCAGTCCTACCGTCAGCACTTGCGGCTTGCCGTCACAACAACAGCATCGAAGCTTCAGACCCGCAACTCCGACTCGTCGAGGAGTTGCATATCAATAAGAAACTTGTCCTCTGCTATTTGCAAAGGTTCTTGAGGTTTTGTCAACCAGGGATCTTCTCGAGTAGTACGCGAGCCTTCTTCCACAGTCGTCCGGAATTTTACCGCCGATGCTCCTTCTACCAATTGCTTCGCAACTTTCGTTGTCTCAGATTGTCCGTTGCCCCCGTGTAGTAGCACCTGATACAAATAAGTTTTCCTCTGCTGCCCACCAAGTGTTGACTGCACCGTCGCGATCGAGATCGGATGGTGGTGCCCACCAAATCGTGGAAGGTTCGGCTCCTTTGTCAAGGGGGAGTACTCAAGAGCACCCTGCACCAACTCGCCGAAGCTAGCATGATGCAGGAGTGACTACTCCTAACGAATAGGTCTCTAATAGCCGCTTTGCTAACATTGACCCAGCCGGAGTTGCTGCCCGTAANTGCATTTGGATGCCGCTTTGAATGCTCCTGAGGATGCAGGCACTTTGTTGCCCGTGGAGTCTGCTGCAGCTGCCGTGCGTATGGGAGGCGACCTTTTGATGTCGGAGAATGTGCGGACTGCTGCTGCTCCGCAGTCTATGGATACAGGTAATGTGAGGGCTGGTACCCGGGGTACTTCANCCTCTGGAACAAGAAGCGCGCTGTCGCCCGCTTCTACCTCGCTTTCAGGTTCTCCATCTTTGCATGTGGGGACCCGTTCGCTTGGTCATTCTAACCCCGCTGTGCCTGGTGCTCTCTCGTTGCCGGTTAGCCCCGCACAAGCACAGTCGTTTGACGACACGCGTGAATATTTTTCTTTTTTGTAAACCTCCTTCGATCTNGGGCTGGTACCCGGGGTACTTCAGTGGATGCAAGTGTTTCTTTTGGGGTTCCGGCTTCTGGATTTGGAGTTGCTGATACTACTGCAGTTTCCACAGGAGCTGTGAGCGCTGATAGGACTTTGTTGCCTTCGGGGACTGCCGGAGCTGCTGGAAGGTTGATACATTTGGAGTCTGCTGGAGCGGCTGTCACAGGCTTTAGAGCTGATGGCGTAGGTGCTTTGCCGCTGCGGGGAGAACACTTGGCTGGCGTTACTGGAGTTTCCGCTGGAGTCAACGGCGNTCTCGCAGTGGACTCCTTCGACTTTTGACGTCCTGGGGGTGCGTTACTCACGTGGTGAGCAATTGATGATGTCGGAAAAAGCTAAGTTGTTTGGAGATACAGCCACGTACGACAAAATTATGGCCACTTCTGATCTGGCGCAGCACAAGTCCTTAGGTCGTCAAGTGCGTCCGTTCAATTACGCTGAATGGGAGCGTCGTCGTGAAGAGATTGTGTTTACGGGTTCGTATGCCAAATTTGCTCAGAACGCTGCCATGAAACAATATCTGTTGGCTACAGGCAATCGCACACTTGCAGAAGCACGACAACCTTCGAACCCCGCGCCAGACCCCCCTCCGCCGGAGCCGCCCCCACAAGAACTGATGGATGGTCTGTCAGACGCGCAACGCTCCAACTTCTCGCGTTTGTGGGATAGATTGCCGCCGCACATGCATGCCATCGCTTTTGATCTTCATGACCCTGGATGGTCGCCAGAGGCTATTGGTCGTTTAGCAGATTCATTGTGCGATTATTCTGATGTGTTTTCTACTTCAAGACGGATTTTGGTGCTTGTGATGTTTTGCCCTTCAGCCTTACTGTTCCTCCTGGGACGAAGCCTGTCGCTTCACGTCCCTACCGCATCAAGGCATTGATGCAGAAGAAGGTGGATGCAGTTTTGGATCAATATTTGGCGGCGGGGCTTATTCAGCATTCCACCTCCCTGTGGGCCTTCTCCTTAAGTGGTCATCCCCAAGAAGGATGGCTCGGTTCGCATCACCGTCACCTACAAGCGCCTTAATGCACTGGTGAATTTAGACGGGCAGTCTCTTCCGCGCGTGGCCGGCATTTTGGACTCTTTGTACACAGGGAAGGTATTTTCCATATTTGATGTCAACTCTGCCTTTCACCACATTGTGTGCGACGAGGAGACCGTGCCTCTCACAGCCTTATGCACGCCGACACAGCTCTTTGAGTGGCTGCGAATGCCGCAAGGAGCTAACGCGAGCCCTTCGTGGTTCTTGAATGTCATCAACCGTGTGGTGCAAGGTCTGGACCGCGTCTTGGCGTATTTGGACGATGTCATTTGCTTTGTCGAGGAACCTTTGGAGAATATGCGTAACATGATTGAACGCCTAGGACAGTACAACCTCAAGCTGTCTCCAGGGAAGGCCCGTGTCGGAGCTACCCACGCCATTTTCCTGGGCCACACCATCTCCCCAGCCGGCGTTAGTCCGGATGGCGACAAGGTTCGGGCGCTCACGAAGATGCCACCGCCGGCGAATGTCAAGCAACTTCGGAGTCTCCTAGGCGGTTTTAGCTACTGCAGGGAATTTCTGAAGAATCTCGCCACCAAGGTAAGACCGCTCAACGCCCTTCTCAAACAAGGCGTTAAGTTTAAGTACACCCCGAGCATGGTCACGATGATTTAATCGCTGCTCCACGACCTTTCCCGCCCCCCAATTTTGGTTTTCCCTGATTGGGATGCGGCTGAAGACAACAGTCGCCCTCTCTGTTTGTGCTCAGATGCCTGTATAGACGGGTTTGGCGCTTCTCCAGAGCAAGAACAGTTGGATGGCACTGTGCGGCCTATTGTGTACATTAGCCGCGCTACTCTTCCTGCTGAACGCAATTGGACCGTTTTGGAATTAGAGACTGGTAGCATTGTCTGGGCTATTAAACGGCTTCGCGGATACCTTTAGTAGACCAAGTTTGTCATTTATTCTGATCACACGGCTTTGGAAAGTATTGGCACGGTTGGCGAACACAATGCTCGTGTGCAACGTTGGTTGGAGTTATTGTCCAACTTCACATACACTTTGGAGTACAGGAAAGGTTCGGCGAATGGCAATGCGGATTTTCTTTCGCGACTGCCGTTGCCAGCGAGAGAGGAGGACAAGACCGGTCCTGACAGCATCGACGGTATTAAACAAGCGGGTGTTTTTCTCATCCGGGCTTGCGGGTTCACCTATCATTCGTCTTCTACACCGGAGGTCGGTTTGGGTGGGCTCCGCCCTCCTTGTCCCGATGGCGTTTTTCCACCCTCTGCGTTGGAAGATTCGGACTATGGTGATTTTCGCAGACATGGACCACGCATGGACGAGCTTGCATTTTCGCCTCCTTCTGGAGACGATTGCAGGAGTTCTTCGGGAGTTTTCGCGGTTTCGCCCGCTTCTGGAGATACTGTGCCTGTTTCTGCGTCGCCTTTCGTACCTATTAGGTCGCACTGTCCACGCCGGCATGTCCACGTTTTGTCTTCGTTGCCGGAACAAAGACCCCTTGTTTCTTCGAGGACTAGGGCCAAGACTTCAGCTGCGTCAGGTTCGCCTGTCGCTGGCCCCAGGTTTTTTAGGCGACAGCCAGGGGCTACTGCAGTCCCTCGTGCTTCGTCGCCTGCTCGTCGCCATCGCAGGTCTCGTAAGACGGCCAAGACAGCTGGGACTACCCCCCGCTGGTCTCGGACTCCCGCGACGCCTACATCGGCGCGTTCATCGACTGTTTGGTACCGCCGGTGATTTCATCGTCGTGTGCGACCCCTTCTTCCCCGCTTTCGCCTTCTTCTAGGTCGTCACCTGGGACAGCCCATTTTTGTGCATCTTCTTCGGCTGGTTCGTTCAGGAAAATCTTTTGATCCAACCGCCGACGACTCTTAACAACATATTCGCACGATTGAGAGCGAAGTATCTGATTGAGAGCGAGGTCGTGCGATACGATGTAGCTTGTCTACTGCTGAGAGGTAGAGCTTGCTGTGCGGCTTGAATTGAAGGGCTTGCCCATAGCTACAAGCCGATACCCGGGTCATCCTGCGGGTGTCTCGCGTTGTGGAGCTACACCGCGGAGCAGAAGCTACGGGAGGGTCTACCGCGCCAGGCGACGGCGCCCTGAAACAGTTTCGGGCAGGAATAGCCAATCTGGGGAAATCTAGCAACATGCGTAGCTCCTCGCTGCTGCAGCCGATCGCAGTGACACGCATATGCACGCGAAGCTGCTGAAGAGAGCTTCAATTTGCGCCGCTTTTTGGAAGAGCCCGTCCCCTGCTTCCCGAGAAATGACGGGAGGCGTCTGGACCCGAATTCGATTTTTTTTGGTTCTCGCTCTCAATCCGAAACTTCGCTCTCAATCGTGCGAAAACCCTGTTTCTTCCTATTTACAGGATTGTGTCCAGAGGTTCAACACTGTGGATTGGGCTCGGGAACAACAGCGAGAGAGTGAGCGCATTGTCGCCATGCGTTTTCTCTCCCGAGGTTCTCCCTCCCCACCTCCGTCGGGCTTGTTGAATGTACCTGCCCCCCTTCGCTCCCCTAAGTTACCGGATGTATTGGCATTGGCTTCAAAAATGCGGTTGCATACAACCGACGCCAACATCACGCTTCTAGTTCATAAATCGGCGCCTCGGCCGGTTGGGCGTGCTGGAGGTAGGACCACGATGTTGATGCGCCCATGGATTCTCCGTGCTTGTCACACGACTGCTTCGTTTCATTTGGGGGTACACCGCACTATACGGCTGCTGGAGCGCTTTTACTGGTGGTCCGGCGTGGATCGCTCGGTTCGCTGGTGGCTTCGGTCGTGTTTGGTGTGCCAGGCTCGCAAAATTTCACGACAGACCACTCGATGGCCTGAAAATGCCATGCCTCTGCCACAGGGTCCCGGCATTTTGGTAGAAATCGATTTTTTCGGACCTTTGCCGGTGACCGTCAAGGGCAACACCTACATCTTACTGTTCACGGATCGCTTTAGCCACCGTGCGGATATGTTTGCGGTCACTGCGGCCGAATTCACGACCAAAGGGACCGCTAATGCGTTTGTGAACCAGTACATGACAAGGTGGGGATGTCCAACCACTTTGCTGTCGGACAATGGAATGCAGTTTTGCTCGAAACTCTCCTTGGCTATCTATGACGCCATGAAGATCAAGAAAGTCACCACGAACGCATACCACCCGCAAACCAATGGAGGTACGGAACGTGTTATTCACACCGTGGCTCAGATGCTTGCTGTGGCTGTCAACGAGAAGCAAACGGATTTGGATGTCCATTTGCCACACGTCGAGTTCGCCTACAACAACTCTATCAATCAAGCCACCGGGCTAGTGCCGAACGACATGGGACCAATTCCGCGCTTACCGCTTTTGGTGTTTGATCACCGTACAGTCGGTGGTCATCAGAGCTTAGATCGCCACCAATTGGAGAACTGCAATTTGGCCGTGGACCGTCAACGTCAGGCGTACGATCTCGTTCGTGAGTTCAACGCGCTTAAATTTTCGCGTGTCGAGAGTCGCAACTCCTCTCTTTTGCCATCAATAAGCTCCCTACGTTACCGCTGGAGGTTGGGTTTGGGTGTACAACACAGCTGCCACCATTCGGCGAGGGGCCAAAAAGGACACGGATCAATAAGTGCTCAAGGTTAAGTTTTCGCTTCCTTGGACAGGACCCTACAAAGTTCTTGCTGTAGGTCCCGCCTCTGCTGAAGATACTCCAGATGGTCGGTCCTTGGGAAATAAACTACCGTACCTGGATCTTCCTTTGGATCTTTCTGGTCCGGACGCTCGTGCCCGTGTGTCGGCCTTACGATGCAAACTCTGCCGCAATCCGTATGACACAAACGATTTGCCGCAGTCTCTGCCTGCTGATCTTTCGCGATGTGTTTTGCATTCTTTTGGAGGCAAATGCCCGCCATTCCATGTCACTGTGGATGATGTGTCTGCGCCGGTTGGTCGTCTGGAAGTGGACTACATTTCGGGGCATCAATAGGGCCGACACCGTAACGGCATCGTCGCGGTATTGTACCAGACTCACTTCACTGAAATGGCCTCATCACTCCGTCCTGGGAACGGGAATCCGACCTGGATCAGTTTCGTCGTCAGATTCTTTTGTATCGGTCTAACGAGATTTGCCAAAGCAAGGAGGGTAATCGCAATTATCACCTGACTCGTACTCGCGCAGCACACCGCGAGCTTGCGAGGTCTCGAGGAGAACGGTACATGCCTCCAGGATTTCGTCTTGTGTCTCACGAGACTTTGCTTCGTCGCTTTAGTGCCTCTCTTCTGCCGGTAGGCGCGAGACTGTGGTACAAGGCACGCGATGGCCTGTGGTGGAATGGTCAAATTGGGGCCCATCGGGACGGATCATATGTGGTTCGACTTTTCGATGACCCAGGTCCCCGGATTCTTCCCCTGCCCGCGGTATTTTACTCTACCGTTTTGGATGCGGCGTGTGGATCGTGGTGTTTGGAGAAATACCGTTCGCGCCCCTTGGGCAACACCAATGTCTGGGCCCCGCCTCGTGCTGACTCTTACCGTCAGCTGTTCCCAGGAATTCTTCTTAGCGTTGTTCCTTGGCGAGCGTGTCTGCCTGCTTTGATTTCTGGATATAACTTTGAGTCTGTGTCTTCGCCATTTCCAAATTGTCTTTGCAAATGTATTTTTCTGTTTTGTTTGTTTTGTATCTTGGACATTGGGACGCGAAAAAAACAAAAGAAATGAAAAGAAAAGAAAAGAAAAGAAAAGAAAAGAAAAGAAAAGAAAAGAAAAGAAAAGAAAAGAATGCCAAGACTAGCAAAAAAAGTGTCCACTGTCCAGCTTTGTCGTTTCTCCGTCCTCAGTTGTTGCTGATGGGAATAGACGAGTGTGTGCCTCTTTCTGAACAGGTTGTGACAGCAGACTATCTTCCTGGATCGACCGTGCCTTATGTATTTCCGTTGTTGCCTGCATTCCTTATTGGACTGCCGCGACCTGGATGTATGTGTGTTCACTTGCTTTTGTGTGTCTGCCTTGTTGCCCGCCTTCTGAAATGGATTGCCGCGACCTGTGTTCATTCTTTTGTGTTTTCTTAAAATGTTCTCCCTGGCTGTCTGCAGTCACCAGAGCATTGCCGCACCTTGGATAGGTCGTGCTTTTATGTTTTGTATTGCTTTTGGTTGCTTCTTTGACGCCAAACAAGCTTTAGCAACCTTCATGCTCTAGCTCGCCATCGCTCACAGCGTGTAGTCGAAGCATGGAGGATTCGTTCCGTTTTACCGAGTGTGGTTTCGATGGTGTTTGCCTCTGAATACTTGGAAAAAGAGTTCCCCAAGTTTCGTCGGTGTTATTTACCTCTGAATACTTGGAAAGAGAGTTCCCCAAGTTTCGTCGGTGTTATTTACCTCTGAACACTTGGAAAAAGAGTTCCCCAAGTTTCGTCGGTGTCTTTTGGCCTCTGAATACTTGGAAAAAGAGTTCCCCAAGTTTCATCGTCCATTTTGCAACTTATATTTGATTGTTTTAGCTTCTTCGTTGACGGAGGCGTGTCGACTGCGCTCCATGCTTCGGGACTCCATACCGTGGCGTAGCCTTCTCCTGTGGCCTTCGTCGACGCTCGTCACCACCCACTTCATTAAACTTTTCTTCGTCATCATCACCTTCAGGCGAAACTTTCATCACCGTCGATATTCTGAGTTTCAGTGATGTGTGTGTTATATGTTTTATATGTTTATCTTTTGTGTGGATATGTTCAATATCGCCGTTGTGAGCGGGATACGGGCGGTTCGTCGCGTCCCCTTCTCCGCCCTCGACCTTTTCTGTCCTGAAGCAATTAGTTTTGCTTCCTTGCGCAAGGTTGGTTGGTAGGTTTTATTGCAGGCCTAGACATGGTCGGCCCTGTCGGTCGTTCAACCTATCTATCTGTGTAGTAATGCCTTCCTTACCAGCGAAACCAACTCTGTCACCCTGAGGTCGTGTGCCTGCCGTGGCTTCCCATTGCTCCTTTTTACTTGGGTCTTGAGTTAATATTTTGTCGTTATTGGCGTAATTCTGGACTCTTTCGGGTAGTCGCTCTCATTTTTCCAGTTGAGATACGCGCCCGTGCGCGTAAAAGAGTGGTGTGTGGCGTTTTGATATTGGTTTTGTATTGTCATTCATGGTAAAAATGTGCTTTGCAGTATTTTCTTACCTAGCTATATCCCTTTCCATGGGTAATAGCATCTTCATTGAGCCGCACTTGCTTGTGTTGTCAATTTGGACATGCAAGCTTTGTGTCAATGGTGGTGTGGGGGGTAGATTCGGGATATTTCTACAGCTCCCCTTTCCTTTGGATGCTATTGTGAAGAGTCATATCTTTAGATTCANAGATACGCGCCCGTGCGCGTAAAAGAGTGGTGTGTGGCGTTTTGATATTGGTTTTGTATTGTCATTCATGGTAAAAATGTGCTTTGCAGTATTTTCTTACCTAGCTATATCCCTTTCCATGGGTAATAGCATCTTCATTGAGCCGCACTTGCTTGTGTTGTCAATTTGGACATGCAAGCTTTGTGTCAATGGTGGTGTGGGGGGTAGATTCGGGATATTTCTACAGCTCCCCTTTCCTTTGGATGCTATTGTGAAGAGTCATATCTTTAGATTCAGGAGTATTCATCATCAGCTCTTCTGGATCGAGCTTATTGGATTTGAGTATAGAATCTGTATAGATGATCTTCAGGGTGGGCTAGTGTTGAGGAGTGTTGCTGTAGGGCTTAGATAGGGTACATCTTGGTCTAGAATAGGATGTGGGTTGTCCGGGAGGTATACCTCTGAGGGACCATACCACATCAGGACTCAGCTATCTGCGTGCCCCCTGGTTGACAGGAGGATCCCCTCCTCAACCAGACCTTCCTCGCTCTCAATTCAAGCAATATCTCATTTCTACACAATCGTGGAGACAAGGCATCAAGCAACCGTATCTCTTTCTTTACCTAAGGACCCAGCTGCTTCCAACAGCTGGAGCTCCTTTACATACCGTCTTTACCTGGCTTTTCCACGCCTCAAACATCTCTCTCTAACTCCCTTATATCTTTGTCCAGCTAAATCATTTTACATTTCTCTCTCCCTCTTGATATACGGCATATCTGCAACTACATAAACACGGAACCGGGGGGGGCTGGGGGCATTCCTCAGTGCCACAAGTAGTAAGAAAGCAGTACCATGCCTGAACCTTCGCATTGCCACAGAGCAGAGAAAAAGCGTGCACGACGTCGTTGGAACGGGAGGTGTCCAACAAACAAGTATAGACCAAGCCAATCGCGGTGAAAACGAGATACCTCGGGTGAAATAGCCGGCGGTGGGTCCAATAAACCAGGAAAAGTGCTGTTCGGGGTAAGGGCAGTCTCTGACAGACCCCAAGGGAGAAATTGTGTGCTGCTTGACGGGACCAGTTGGCCTGGTGGGATGCGTGGCATAAGCGATACCAAACACTTGTTGTTTGCCAACAAGGCTAACCAACAACCCAAAACATTGTTTCAATTTTCCGAAACAAGGAAGATCGAAACCGCATGGTGATAGCGCCGGCCAAGTACGCACGTTAGAAGATACAGCGGAGAGCGGAACAGTTTTTAATGTGAAGACATCAACAGCAAAACCCAAACACACATGCATGTACACCTCTTTCGAAGTAGGTGGAACTCGGTGCCAGCCAAAATCTATTGATAAAACAGTGGAATGGCTACCGATTAGTCATCTTGTTTCCGAGCACTCGACACATTCAGAGAGGAACATAGACGATTGCGGGGGAACAGCGGAAGCAGCGGGATCCGTATCGACCTCGAGGGGTTGAGGAAGGACAAACACCTACGGGTCGCCTTCCAAAACAGGGCCTCCAGCCGCCCTCCGCCCACGGCGCTCAGGCGGCCAACGGGAGAGACCGCCGCCGAGCTGACGGCTACGGTGATGTCGGCCGCTGCTGAGACCGCGCCGCTGGCGACGTGCGCACGAGGGCAGAGAGACTGGTATACAAGTGAAGCGCAGCACGAGATCTCCGAAGCGTCTAAAGATATTGAGGCGGCCCAGCAGCAACTGCGTGGGGCCTCAAAGAACAGCGCCTTCGAGGCGACCCTGAAGGCGATGCTCAAGGCGGCGCGGAAGAAGTGCAGCATCGCGAAGTGGAGAGCACTGGAAACGTTCTTCGAGGGCTATGTACGGCAGCTCGAGAAGAAGAGCCGCGAGGGGGATCAGGCGGGTTTCTACAGGCACCTGAAGATGATCGACGTCGAAGGTAAGAGGTCGTTCACCTCTCAGAACATCAAGGATGAGGACGGCAAGGTCCTTCGGGACCCCACGTTCATTCGCCAACGGTGGTCACGGTGGTTCCACAAGCTTCTCAACACCAAGTAGCCGACCATCGACCTGCATGTGGCTGACGGGGTCAAGCGGTGGCCCACGTGCGTGTCACTCGACGACATCCCATCTCTACTTGAGGTTGAGGAAGCGGTACGGGAAATGACCAACAGATGGGCCGGACGACCTACTGGCTGAGCTGATCAAGCTTTTCCTAGACGGAGATCAAGGTCTCCTCCGCGAATTCCACGCCACTGTCGTGGACGTGTGGCAGACTGGGGACGTACCAAAGCAGTGGAAGGATGCCACCATCAAAGTGCTTTTCAAGAAGGGGGGCACGATGGAGAGCGGCAACTACCGGGGCATCTCTCTCGTCGCACACGCCGGCAAG